AGTTCATACTAGTAGTAGTACTCGTACATACTCGTACCAATATCTGATCTATTTATAATATAGTACAGTAGTGGTACTGGTACCACAAATAACGACCAGGCTTCCCTCTTGAATGCCACGGCACGTGTTCCAGGGTACAGCTGGTAGGCGGTGCAGACCGCAGCGAGGCGAATCGAAGAGAAAAAGCGCCACATCACGTGGCCTCGGATGTTTTTCCACGACATAGACGTCGACAGTTTAGGGATTGAGGCTTATGGGGGGTGCTTAGCCGTTTATAACTGTTCCCACCGAAGACCGAAAACCTCCGAAAGTCGGGATTGGCTGGGGTGCTAGTCGAGGTGCTGCTCACTGAAAGGTTTACTTGAGCAGCTGCTATCTCGATCGAACGAAGCAGCCACATGCACGAACCAAGCATGCAACATGTAGCATGCCTCTTCCATGGTGTACATACGACAGCATGCAGACTGCAGAATCTTTTGGACCTTGCTGCCATTCTCGTATAAATGCACCAGCCAGCGGCACAGCCGAAGCCCAAAATGAACAGCATGGCATATTCATGTGTTCGGGCAAGCGATCACCATGTGATCATTTCCACGAGGCCAAAACCAGATCCTGAATGGACCCCTCCTGATCATTCTTTGGAGTGCTCGCTAGCTTCTAGAGTGCAGTAGTCAGGAACCGAACCAATCAGGACCATCCTACATCCTCCACACCATTCTGCAGCAGATCACTTCACAGCCAGTTCGGCCCGGCGCTGGGCCGTCAACTTCATCAAGCACTCTTTCTCCTTCTCGAAGGCATCTTCCACGACCGACAAGTCCTTGCCTGCCTCCAAAGACAAAGCCTCACAGCATGCGGGTTCTGGACAGCACGACATACTCTCATTGACACCACAGGATTCACCATACAAAGGCAGGCAAGAAACAGCCTTTATGCAAGGTTGAACGATCTCCTTCCATGTGATTGGGAGGCCCGTGTGCTTGCCAGTGATGAACAGCACCTGCGACACAAAGCCGACAACACGACACACATCACAAACTGACCTGCATGAACATCCTGCCTGCTTCTTTGGCTTCGTTGCTGTGGGCTTGCGAACGACACCGCACTCGAACGGTCGGGTCCAATAGGGCATCACCTCAACATCATAAGCTGTTGTAGCAATGATCAATCCGTATCATCATCCTGGCTACCCGATCGCGATTTGTACATGTGATATTGCAAGCTGAAGCACTCGATAGTTCTCGAGTTCCGGGAGGCTCTTCAAGACCTCCCGCTCCTCCGGCGTCCTGGTTGATCGTTTTTTCGGCTTCTGTCCTTCATCGGCCTCCTGTCCTGGGCCGTCGTTGTCGCCATCGACCTCTTTCACCTCATCTGGATCAACTTCCTCCAAAGGCTCTTCGACTCTTCGGCCTTTCGCTTCAGAGCTGCAGCCGCAGGCCGCTTCATGGCAGCTCCACTCCTGTGTGATTGATGCTCACGACACACATAATGAATTGATCAATTCAATTGCAACCGTGTTCCTTCCACGGCCACGGCCACGGCCACGTCCGCCACGGCCTGGCTTGTCCGTGTCAGGAGCCGCCTTCGCTTTGGCAGCTGATCGCCTCGGATAATTAAACATGCACACTCCAAGAAATGGGACATGCTTTGCTACAGCCAAATAGTCAGCTGGAGAGCAGTTTCGACTGCAGCTCGGGCAAAGCATCTGTGCACCCAGCTGCTGCATCCTCAAGAAGCTTCTCAGCTTGGGAGGAATCCCAGGTCGGAGCTTCGGTCACCAGGGGCTTGCGATCCTGCACACAAGGGAACCTATGCATATATGACCCATACTGACAAGTGCTGGTGTGATCCCTCTAGAAAGTCCTTGTCACTGGTGCGATCCCCGTGCGAGTCGTGCTTGAGGTCACCGGTATCCTCGTTATATTAATATTAGATTGTGACGTACACACACACACACACACACTCACAAACTCATCGGCTGTCCTTATGCACGGGTTTCTGCTTCTCTGCTGACGGTGGGTCGGGCTGCGTGAATGGGATGTCTTCTTCCTTCGAGGGACAACGAGATATTCAAGGTGCATTATACACACAAACCCACAACGAATAATTGTGCTGCTGCTGCACCATCGGGGTCTCGTGGCAGGCATCTCCAAGCGGGTCCTGCAAAAAAATCGTTTCAGTATATATGATGAAGCATGCATCGAAAGATGTGTGTCCTGGAAAGGAGGCACTGCCGGATAGGCCTTCGGGTCCACTACCTGTCATGTCTTAGCAGTTGCAACACGTACAATGCGAAAAGACCCTCAATGACAGAACAATCCAGCACATACTCGATCAAATACCCGACTAACACATCCTCGCCTCGATCTCCTGCTGGCCGCCTTCCTCGGTCGGATCCTCCACCATGGCCTGCGAATCCTCTACCGAGGCCTCTTGGCCCCCTTCCTCGGTCGGATCCTCCACCATGGCCTCCCCATCCTTGGCCGAATCCTCTACTGAGCCCTCTTGGCCCCCTTCCTCGGTCGGATCATCTACCATGGCCTCCCCATCCTCGGCCGAATCCTCTACTGGGGCCGCTTGGCCCCCATCCACGGCCGAAGCATCCACAGCAGTTGCAGCCGGCGCTTCGAGAGCAGCGAGGATGTCCTTGAGTGTTTGTATCTTCGGCGACCTCACCAAACGAATCAAACCGGGCAGGACCACACACACACTCATATAAACACATGTATAGACCATGCATATATGTGCCGAAAAGAATCTTCGACCGGTCCGGCGTTTTCCGGTAGAGCCGGATCAAGTAGATCACACGGGCCCGCAAAGTCCCGGCGTGATAGTCCACCCACATCTGCAAGCCAGCTGCACAAGACAATCTTCTTCCGGTCAATCAGCCGGCCTGCGTCTCCTTCTTCAGCACATCTTTCCCCATAATATCGTGTTCCTCCAGAACCCATTCAAAAGCTGCCTGGGCTGTGCATGCTATAGCTACAGGTTAAACACCTCTATCGGGTCCGAAACACTCTAGAGCAGAACAAGATACCTTGTATTTTGCCATATTTGGCTGAGTGCATCCAAAGGAAGCAAGAAGCCCGGCGATCACATCGAAAGCCGCTTCCACAGCAGCATCTGAAATGAATTGGAAGGGCTCGAAGAACTCATGCCCCTCAGATGCTGATTAAAAGAGAAAACACATTGCATGTGTCTGTGTGTGGATGTACATCTACACTCCTGTTGCTGGCCAATCGCTTCCTTTCGCCTGGCTTCTCCAGCACGTGTGTGCTTCTTTCCTTCAGGCTTGGTTCGAACAAAGTCGTCCAAGATATCCTTGAGCAACATCAACCTCGAGGCTCGAGGCTTCACGATCAAATTTATAAAGCAGATTGACACATGGGATCTTGCTAGAGTACCAGTTGAGCAACTCCTCATCCTGAAGATTAGGAGTCTCTCCTAACTCATCATCAGCAGCTGCTACCACAGCACCCGAGTTCGCAGAAGCCGCCATGCCGAAACCCCTTCCGGGCTCCGATCTGCTAAAAAATGCTGCTTTAAACACAGCAAGACATGACCAACTTTCAACAGTTGAATATGCACACAGATGCATGCTGCACACATGACTGATCACATAGCAGTCGCATATGCACACAGCTGCATGCACACAATGCAAGGAAGCAGGGCGGGGGTGCACTCTTGCGTTTCCGGTCCCGTAATCTGCTCCGGGATAACAGCAGGGCTCGCTGCATTGCAAGCGAACGATCTCATGGCGACGATTGCCATACTACTAGTGTACTGCATATGACATGAGAGCGGCACAGCCATGTGTCCTGGGCTGTAGGGTCTGAAGTTAAGGATCTTACAGGGGATCTCGGAGTCGCCATCGGCCTTATGGATAAGGATCTCAGGGTTCAGAGGCCTAGAAAGATGAGGATAATCTTCGGATTCTTTCCAGTTCTGTGGTTTAGGGTTTAGGGTGACTTTCGGTTTAAGGGCCCACCGACCGAGAGCTGTTGGGCCTCGATTCCTGTGTTGCAGCACGAAAGAAGCGGTTTCACGTGTATATATGTATGTATATATATATATAGCTATATATGTATATACATGAATATATATATATATATATATATATATATATATATATATATATATATATATATATATATATATATATATATATATATATATATATATATATATAGCTATATAGCTAATATATATATATATATATATATATATATATAGCTATATATATATATATATTATAGTAATATATTTAATATATATATATATATATATATATATATATATAATAATATTAGTGTTAACAAAGGTTAGGGCACCAGTTCCTGGAACTGGCCCCGTTTGCGTGGTAACTGCGCTCGGAGGTTACCAGGACAGTTCATCATATATCGGTCACCGGCCGCCTAGGGTTACTTACTTCTTCGATCTTGCAAGCAGGATCGCATTTTCTCCAACTTCGAGCCTGGCCCCCCAAAATGCAGTATCGGGAGTCTTGAACCCCTAACTTCTACTCACAGGATCAAGGCATGCATGACAAGGCAACCCATACGCCCCCAAGTAGTTCCTCTTTTGGGATTACCTTATAGAATTCTATATATTAACCCCAAAAAGGAACTACTTTGGGGCCTTTGGGTAACTCCTGTTTCTTGCAGCTTACTAAGTCCTTCTTGTTTCACTGCATGCCGTGAGAACCTGTAGACCCCGCGAAAGCTCCCACAGTCCCCTGGTCCTCTAACCCTAAGGGTCCAAAGGACCCAATAAGCAGGTACTTAGGTTTTGGATAGTAGTTATATGGGTTACTATTTTGGAGAGTACATGATAATTAGGTGCTTGGACCCTTAGGGTAATGAATCTCCAAGTACCGGGTTCTTGTTAAGGACTTCAATTTAAGGTACAATAATAATTGGGATCTATAGTAAACAATAGGGTTTCCTTATCATGGTCACTTAAAAGTAAATCCCGTAACGAGACCCCAGAATAAAGCGGAGGAAAAAGCTCCGATGTCATTGCAGCCGCAAAGCGCCGAAGCGCCACGGCTCCTGCACCGGAGCTGGAGACACCTCCCCTCCGTGGGCACCTGGCGCCCTTGGCTTCATAGCTTAAGAACCAAAGGACCCATGAAAGTAAGGCCATATACCCTCGTACTACCCTCGTACTGACTGCTCTTATGGTAAGTGAACCTTGAACCCCGTTGTGTGGGGGGCGCGCCACTCCTCAAGCAGCACGCGTTCGGTTGATGATATAAATGCTGCATTACCCATAATCATGAATATACCATAAATCCCATAGTTTAGGGTCCTTAAGGTCATGCAGGACTTATCTCATCAACAGGTTTCGGTCTCAAAACCTATGCTCGGAGTTGCATGTTTCTGAGTGCACGCCTGGATTGTTTTTCTTGGAGGCCCAGGGGACGTAGTAAGTCGGTTATAAGTCGGGTTATAATTGGGGTAACTCCATTTAGGGCACTTATAAGTCTACTCATAACCTACTTACTAAGTCCCCTGCCACTCCAAGTAGACCCTAAAGGAACCCTATAGATCCCTTAAAGGAACCCTTCTAAGGAACCCTTACTATGTCCCCTGGGCCTCTAAGTTGCGGTTGGAGACGTACAGATCCTGCATCTCCAGACAGGCCTGCAGATTTTACCGATGTGCTCTAAGGAACCACTGTAATGAATGAACCTGATTAAGAAACCTTGGGCCTTTATTAGGTTCCTTATATGAAACCTACTAGTTTTGGGGTTATATGCCCAGGGTTTCTTAATCAGGTTCCTACATAACCCTTGAAAAAGGCACTGACCGCAGAACCCGATCTATGCTTCCCTTGCTTTGGATACCTCGGCTACTCTATAGTAGAAGCCATATAGTTGAAACACTATGATCCTCGTGCCCTTAAGGTAAAGTAGGAGGGTTCCTAGCCCAAATCATCCTAAACCCATGTTCCAACTTTCTGAGGTTCGCCGTAGGTAGAGTTTAGGCTCTGGGGATCTTTCCGGCACCAAATGGGAGCTTCCGAAAATCAGGGGTGCCTTATTTGGGGGTCCTTATAATGAGGATCCTATTGAGTTAGGGTATATGTATAGATGTGTAAAAATAAATAAATAAATAGATAAATAAATAAATATGTATATATATATATGTATTTCTGGGTCCCCTATTCTCGGAAACTCCTAGATGAGACTTAGGGATAGCACCCCAAACCTTTCCGAGGACATGTCGTCCTCGGAGTTTGTCCCCGGCCCGAGACAACACTCAGCAAACTCTATGCACTATGGGGCTTCAACCGTGAAGTCCGGGTAGAAAGCCCTAGTATTGGGTTGAGGGTTCAGGTTTGGTATTTCACATAGGTTTTTGTTCGGTTTAATTAAAACGTTTAGGTTTTGGGGTATGGTTACCCATAGGCCCCAAAGTAGTTCCTTTTGGGGATCACCTTATAGGATGCTATATATGAGCCCCCAAAAAGGAACTACTTTGGGGCCTTTGGGTAAAGCGGCAACGATGGGTTTGGAGTTGAGATCTGGGGCTTCACGACAGGACACGCCTGTGTAAATCCCCTCGACGCCGTTGGCTCTACCCTAAGGCCCCAAAGTAGTTCCTTTTTGGGGTTCATATTTAGGTTCCTATAAGGTAATCCCAAAAAAGAACTACTTTGGGGCCTATGGGTAAGGGCAGCCAGCTCATCCTAAACAGGCACGAAAAAGCGAGCCCTAATGTTACAGACGCCGACAACGCCACGTGAAGGTCAACGGATGCTTAATGTAAGGACTTTACTACTTTTGGGGCATCGTCTTATACTCTAGTTCCAATTTCGACCCCCAAAATAGTATTAGTATGTATTTCGCGCCCCTTCTTAAAGCCACGAAACCCTAAACATATGGAGGTCAACTGAGAGCTGTGCAGATCCGAGGCGCGCACCACGGCTCAAGGATGCCGGGCAGCTGCTGCTAGGCACTTACAAGCACGATCAATTTTGTTCGATGGGGTTCGTCAGGTGCTTTGGTTCATCGCACGGGTTGTCTATGTGTTCAATCGGGCTTCGATTTTAGGCGGGTTTTGGTTGTGTTTTCTGCCTTGTCGTTGATCAAGCAGTGGCAACCCGACACGGTCTCGTTCAAAGGAGCGGCCTAGCATCTAGACGTATGAGGCTTGAAAACAACATATGGAGGCTGACATCCGTGTCTTCGAACGAGGTGCATTATCTTCACAATGCAAGTAGAGTGTGATATCAGATATAGTGAACAACAACGCATGCACAGACCGGTGCCTAAGCTTCAGCGCCTGAAGCAAGCGTTGGCGTGGCTCGTGCTTGGATGCCTCCTGCTGTCTACGAATGCAGACGAATTACTTTGCGAGGCATAGCTAAGCTTGTGTTGCTAGCGCCATGCGATGTAAGCCACAGCCGGATGCATGTAGCAGTACTACGTAGCACGGTGCTAAAGGAACTAAACCCTAAACCCTAAACCCTGGTTCTGTGTGAAGGTCCCGTGAAAGCTGGACTCTGCTGCCGGTTGCAGCAAACCCAGAGAGCCCAATACCCCTTAATTAAGGAATATAGCTTAAGTCATAATATGAAGCCCTACATAATTTAAGCCATATTCCTTAATTAAGGGGTATTGGGCTCTCTGGGAATGTACAATGAATCAGTAAGTCCGCTTAGCTTCTGAATGATGCAGTCTACTTGCAGCACCAGATGCAGGGTTGTTAACACCAGGGCTATCTTCTTCGTGTTGATTATGACAAGGATCCTCACCGTTTGGGGTCTAAATCAGCGACGCCCCCATTGATCCCACAGTTCAGCTTCAGCCCAGGTTGCCGTCGGTGGGGACGTAGAGCCCCTGGCACCTTATAGGCTCATTCGTAGTTCCTTTTGGGTTATCTTAAGTTACCGAAAAGGATCTCACGTCTAAAACTGGTTAAACCAAAAAAAGGAACTGCAATGGAGACTATAGGAAGAGCCCCGTGTGAAGCACAGGCACCTCCCAGAAGTGTGGGTGCCTGAAGCTTCTACTCTGAGAGTCCTGTACATCAGAGAGATACCTAAACTCTAACTACGCTGTCCATAAAGTACCTCTATAGGGACTACTTTCAGGCCACATCATATACTATTTGGGCACATGGACCCTTAGGGTAAGACATGCCCCGGAGAGTTGCAAGGTATGTTTTCCCCCCCCCCCCCAATTTAAAGGGTTTTGGGCACTTTGTACTATGGCAGCTGGCTCCGTGCCGCTTCCGCATTCCTGATGCATACGGAAAATGTTTGAATTTCAGGCTATATAAGGTTCAGAATATAGACATAGATGTCTTATTATAGTCTCTAGCTCCCAAAATGCGTGCACTTCTAGTAGAGTCTGTCTGCAAAAACCGATTAACAACACAGCACAGTGCTCGCAGAATGCCCCCCAACCATCGAACTCTGCCACAGCCTCTTGACGGCTCCTGGCCACAAGTGCCTGCAACGGCGCAGGAGACTGGAGCAAAACAGATGCTGGTAAACTCTGAGGTGTGACTACCCTAAGGCCCCGAAGTAGTTCCTTTTTGGGGTTTATATTTAGAATCCTATAAGGTAATCCCAAAAAGGAACTACTTTGGGGCCTAGGGGTAAGCCCTATACGCACGCTAAAACCCGAAAGCCTAAACTTGCAACCCTAAGCCCTATAAGCCCTGAACTGAGAATCCCGGAACCTTACGCTGGCAATCCTAAGCCCGCTTACCTTAACTCTGAATAACCTACCATTTTAGGGTTCCCCATTATGATTTCCTTATATAAGTCCTTCAAAAGGTAGGTTCTTCAGGGTTAAGGTAAACCCTAAGATCCGAAGTCCTAAACTTACACCTGCGAAGCCCCTGCAAGCTTTCCGGATCATTACTGTAGGAATGCCGTGAGATCTCGGAGATGCTAGAGCCCTTGAAGAGGAAATGCACCCTGAAAGGGTGCAAGACTTTAGGTCTAAGTTTCAGGTTTTATGTGGCCCGTACTTACTGTTGCAGGTCAATGGTCCTGAAGAACCGTCGCATGTGAGTAGGCTCAGGGTCGTAGCATTCAGAGCAGGTTTCGGGTCTCATTCGGTAGATTTGAGTGTACAGTCACAGCAACATTAAACCTTACCCAGCACACTTATCACTTATCACCTAAACTTTGTCAAACCTGCCAAGACTCTTGACACTACTTTAGGTAGCTCACTATTTCTTTCTCCCTGTAAACCCTAAACCCCTAAACTAAGCGCCCTAGACCCGAAAAACAAAGTTGCGTCAGTGTTTTCCGAGTGTAATAGGGAAAATATCGGAGGCCTCAAAAGGTGGGATGAAGGTAGGTGGGATACTCCCAAGTGAGAGTCCTTATATAAGGGATGCTTGATCCTACCCACCTTCATCCCAACTTTTGAGGCCTCCGAAAATAGAGCCTCCGAGAGTCTTGAAGCCCCGGTGCTGTGCTTGACTTCTAGCGGGGGCCTTCATAGTTATGAAAGCGCTGTAGTGTCCTTTCCTTGGTTAAGAGGTTTTGGAGTCTCTTCGCCACAAGCCCTAAAGCCTAAACACGTAAATCTAAACCGTCATAGACCCAGTGCTACTTTCAAACATTCTTCAATTTTTGATTCCTACAATCCCTAAGAAACAGCTAAAATTACATTCCTTGCTAGAATCTAAGTTCGGTATAGCAGAACCCTGTAAAGGTGTAGCTCAGCAGCCGAGCAGACCACTGCCCGACCCAGCAAGATGGCGAGAAGCAGGGAAGATGCAGCCCGATGCGGCCAACATGCCCTGAACAACGCGCAGGGCTTCCCGTGCTTTCGTGCAGCAGACATGGGAGTTTCCAAAAATTAGGGATACCTCACTATTGGGGGTCCTAAGGAAATTGACTATATTCTTAATGGAGCCCAACCCTCCAACTCCATGCCCCGCGCCCAAGGTACTATTAAAGCCTAAACCTCAAACCCTAAACCCTTATAGACCCCTTATAGATCCCTTACAGAACCCCTATAAAAGAACCCTAGAAATCCCAAACCCTAAACCGGGCCCAAGGTATCATAGGAGGCCAAAAGGGGTTTAGCCTATGGGGGTTTAGTAGGGATTAGGGTTCCCATAATCGGGTTCATATCAAGGAATCCCTACCCCCAAGAATCTTAAACCCAGCTTGTGGCCTTCCATCAAGGTAGTGAGCCTACCCAAGATGGTGTCCTCGATGTCTCAAAAGAGCGCTGGCCTCGGCCCGTTTGTGGAGGAGGGGCTGAGGGGCTTTGAGCCTTAGGAATTTAGGGTTTAGGGTGTACTGGTTTAGGGTTTTAGGGTTGATAAGGTCGAGGGTGTAGCGGTTTAGGTTTTTTTTTTGTGTTTTAGGGTGTAGGGGTTTCTAATGCGTCCATGCATACGACGGTTATGGTGTATTAGGTCCCTCTAAGCCATGATCAGAATGGCCCGTTGGGGCTTGATTTCATAATGGTAGTATCCTTGGACCCTCCGGGTAAGTGCTTATGGGGTGTTTCTTCGGGATCCATACATTCTTCCTTCAGAGTTTCTTAGAGGCGTTTCTGCGGTGTCCACAAGGGATGTACCCTATAGACCCTAAACCCTAAACCCCAGCGAGGGCTACAGCATTCAGAGTTTGGGGTCTAGAGTTCCAGGTCTGGGTTTTTGGCAGTGTTTTTTTTCTTGTGGCTTTAGGGTTTAGGATTTGGCTTTGAGGATTCGGCTTCAGGGTCTGTGCCTTAGGGGTATACTTGGAGGTTGTCCGGTTTGGGATAAGGGGTTTGGGGTTTGACTTTCCGGGGGGATTTAATAATGGTTTGAAGAAGTGACAATACTCGCCCCCCGCAGCCACCCAAGACCACCTTCGAATATGTAGGGCCCCTATGTTAGGCCTTAAGGGCCTAGAGCTTTCGGACATTGTCGTTTGCCTCCTGTGACCCTAAACTCTAAACCGTAAAAAAAACATGTAAACCCCAAAAGCCCTAAAAGCCCAGGCGCCCTATCAACCCTAAACCCAAACGCAAACTAAGCCTTCTTCCCCAAATCCTGACGTCGTCACCCAATAATCAAGGCCTAAGTATATATTATATACCCTAAACTTGAACCCTGAACCCTACACCTTAAACCCTAAACCCTAAACCCTGAACCCTAAACCCTGAACCCTAAACCCTAGACCCTGAACCCTAGACCCTAAACCCCGAACCCTACATTTTAAACCCTAAACTGTACGGGCGCATGAAGGCTTAGGGTCAGACCTAAGCCAGATTGAGCCGAAAGGGTAATGTTTTAAGGGCCAAAACAGCACGTAAGCATAAGCATTTTATAGGGGACTGGTTTCTTGTGGTGTTCTAGGGGAGTGGGCTCGTTTTTTTTGTCGCGTTCCCAGGCTAGCGACTGAATGCTTTGCCTTTACACGTAGGGTATGTGCTGAACGCTGCAGCAATCTTTTGGTGCCCTCGACTCCCTTTCGCTTCCTACTTTCATCGCTCCCGCTGCGGCCATGCAGCGCTATGTGCAGGGCGAGCTTGTGTGCAGGGAGTGTGGGTCCGATCGTCTGGAGTACTGCATGAAGGCTGCTCAAGGGATGCTGGTTGTTTTTCTTCGGGGTTTGGTCTTCTTGGCTTGGGATCCGGAAACGGTTTCCTTCGGGGTTTTCTGCGATTCAGGGCTAGGTAGGGTTGCTCGGGGGTATTTTTTGAGGTTCTACGACGTAAGGCGCTACTCGGCGCTAGCGTCTTTTGCGGGCTTTTCCCTTCCCACGGATAACAGGAGGTCCGCTTGGAGTGTCTGGATTGTGGCGTGGTCGACGACCGCGACCCATTGAACATCCATGACATAGACGAGGACCGCGGGGCGAAGCTTGTTCAGGGTGGATTTCTTAAGTTTCGGGTGCGTTCCTCTAGCCGGATCGGTTCCGGGTCTTTTTAGGGTAAGTTAGTGTCTTTGGGGTCAGGAGGACCACATTGATTACACCCTGTACGAGAGCCAAACAAAAGACGGGAAGACCGTCTACGAGGTTCTCGCTCTGGGTTTGGCGACGGCATTCTTTTTTAGGGTCCTCTTCCTTTGTATGTCCTGAGGGTTCTTCTTTCTTTTAGTCCGGATTGGTTCTAAGGGGTCTAACCTTTTTTCTTCTAGCACGGGTGTGGTGCTACTACTTCGCAGCCGCGAGGCGCATCATGTCCACAAGTCGGACCTTTCAAAGCAGAGGTGGCGACGAACCGTCCGGTGCCGCCCGGGAGGTAGCAGGGACAGGGATAGAGTACTTGTGGGTTTAGTTGAGATAGAGGGTTTCCCCTTCCACCTTGTTCCTAAAACTCGGGGTCTTAGCGCTGTATTTACCCTAGGGTTGCTTAACTAGTCCTCTTTTCCTTATGCTCTTAAACCCTAGAGGCCTGACCAAAACGTTTGCCGAGCGCCCCTTCGGCTTCCACGGGATGAGGGCATGGCTCGCGGCGTATGCCGCAGGCAGTGGGGAAGTGATCTCGGGGCCCACGGAATGCATGGGCCATACGCTAACTAACCGGGCGCGCACTGTGCCGGCAACTTGTCAAGAAGTGGCGAGGCTGGCTTACCCGCGACGAATGCCGCCTTTTGCGGGGAGCGTACCGGCGCTATGGCCACCAGCCTGTGCGGAGACGGCCACGGGCGAAGCGCGAATCTTCGCCAGCCCCATCCTTCCATTGGTCGGACTGGGAGAAATGATGTATCATTAAGGTTATCTTCGTGTTTTAGATTTAAGCGGTAGTTCTTTAAGAGGAGTTCGCATCCAAGAGGTTAGGACGAAGCAGCTAGAATTAAGATCATCTTCTCCCAGCTTCGCTACCAGGGTTTGATGGGAGCAGCACATATAGTCTAAGTTTACT